ATTCTCTGTCTTTTTCTATGGAGGAACATCCCTCTGCATTCTGAAGTGCACTGGTGTTGAGAAAGTTTTCAGAAAACCTGATACCAGTCAAGGGTAAAATAAGTAGCAGGTAGACTTTTTTCCAGCCACAGGTATGTACTTTTCAATATCATTACTTTTGGTGAGAGTTGAGTACCAAAAACTCTAATACTGAAACCAGTGATACTTGAATGTGCCAATAGCGATGTAGCCATGGCTTTACATTCTATAGAGTGTCAGAGAAAGAGAGTGGCAGAGAACATAGCCTTAGAAAGTCATCTGAATTTAACCTCATTTGCAAGAAAGTAATGAAACTGCAATCCTATATACTTGTGAGAATAAGTTCTATTTAGTTGGACTTCTATTTGAGTGGATATGCAAGGGCTGCACTGGCAGTAAGCATTCAATGCTGCAATCCTAAAAAACAATTGCTCGGCACTAATTTCAAACTCAGTAAAGTTTAATTGCTCAACACCCATAGAAGTGGACCTATACATGTGGATCAAATTCCCTGGTGGTGCATTACACCACATAAGTTGAACAAAACAGTGCCAGCTAGGACAGCCTCATTCTTTTGCAATTCCTGTGCCAGTGGGCATACACTGAGAGTATTTTAGGCATTTTTGCAAAATGGCTGCTGGAGAGGCTCTCCTATAAGGCCACTCACAAACACCCCAAAGATGAGACTAAAAAGAAAAAATGCTTCACCCAAATACAGATGGTACTAGTATGCAGCACTGCACTTTGCAGTATGATAACCTCCCAATTAACATATCTTAAAGATCAGGAGGGGTAGGTAGCTTGGAGGTGCCTAGCTAAAGTGTCTGTGAGTACGTATTTCTGACAGGCACCCAGTTAGAGATCCTGGATATAAAATAACACCATATTATAATTGATCACCACTTCACTATCCAAACCTGGAAGCAATCAGGGCTTAATGTCACTTTAAGTGTGTCTATATAATGGGGCTAACTTGACTTGTGGTTACAATGACCTGTAATACAGATTTTAAATCTAATTTTCCTAAAATGTAGATCTCATTCCTGTTCTACATTCATTCTTTATAAAGAACACACATCTAGAAAGGGTAGAGAGATTTGTTCCAATTCAGGTATCTCAAGAATGCATTTAATTTAGATTGGGGTGCAATCCTCCAACATGCCTTATCTCCCCCACTTTACTCTCCATTCTCTCCAGCAATCCTGATGCAGGTCACTGTTTCCCCAGCACTGCTTAGCAGCAAAGAAAGAATGGTATACATCAATATAACTTTTGTACAGCTGTGCCTTTGGACATGGGTGTAAAGCATCCCATGCTCTTCAGGCCAAAAAGACTGCACACCCCCAGTTTAAATTCTGTAGAACTTGGTATTCTATATTCTGTTTCAAAGTAAATCCTGAGGGGAAAATTAGTATTTTAACATTGCAAAAGCCTAAAATACTCTTTTCCAGTGTGTTTAACACATCCCTGGTAAGGCAACAGTGCTATTTATGATGTCTGAGCACTGGAAATGTTGATCCTTTTGGCATTCCATAACTGCCATTTTGTTTCACGTATGGGATTTAAAGCTCCCCCCACAAAATTTCAGGGGCTGTCAGGAACCACATGTTCCACCTCCCCCACTTTACTTTCTACCTATGTGTTCTCACTAACAGAAATCACAGTTGTGCTTTCAATCTTTTTTAGGGCAGGATGCCTGTACAGTGTGATAAGCAGAATTTCAACAAATAAAATCTCTCAAGTACATTTTGGTTGAAAGCCGCCTAAAAGTCTTCAACGATAAGGTAGGGTAGAAAAGTTATTCAAAAAACAAAAACCATGCTGTATAAAGCTGTCTTTAACGTTAAAGTGGCAAACAGCCTCAAAGGGCATGAATGGCAGCTTTTCTCAAAAGGGAAATGCAGGGAGTTTCCTATGTCGAATCTCCGAAGTGACAGCAGCTGCTCCTGCCTTGGCACCACCAGTTACATTCTCTGGAAAAGGTTCCACTTCGTGTGCAGTTTTCCTACAAGCACTTTTATGCACTGGCAGAAAGATACTTAAAGAAGTCCCACTAAAAAGCACGAAGCAAAAAGAGCAACAGCGCTTTATTGATTTGTGTTTTTATTTATGAACTTTGCAAAGCTGTAATATATATTACTATAACAACATCCCTAAACGGTGTACGTTTAATCTTGGGGATTTCTACAGAGGGCGACTTTGTGCTCCTGGATATGCTTGTATGACTGTAAAACTCCCATTAAACACAGCGGATTTACCTCTAGGCAAGCAGGGCAACAAAGATCCTCCAACAGCGGGCACCGACAGCGGGCAGGTTCGCTACGGCGGCTGCCTTCGCTGAACCTGATAGGAGACTTCGCTGGACGCTGTTCTCGCCTTTCCCGTCCTAATGCGCAGGCGCACTCTTACCGCGCCCGCTCTGATGGCTGTCCCTCCCTCACCCCTGGAGCTCCTGCCGTTTTCCCTCTGTTCTTTCACTGAAAGGGGTGCCATCAATCATTTCTAGGAAAGGCGGGAGTAGGAATCGCTGGGCTGTGGAAGAGTCGCGCGCGCGCGCCCAGTGCCCGGCCTGCGAGTAGACTTGGCATTTTCTTTCACACCCCGTGGGCTGAAAGCGCTGCACGTCTATATGGAGATCGAGGTCTCCATACGTGTCTGCGAGCAGCTGGGGAAAGGAGCACCGCTTGACTCTGGGGTAACGGGCGGAGCGCTCTGTGCAGGCCAGGGGAATCCGCATGGACCAACAGCAAATTATGGATTTTTGTGCAGAACTTGAACGTTATTAAACAATCCCGAGACTACAACGGCAACCCGCGGCAATTCTTTTTAGTATTTTGTGTACGCGGGGCGGCGTCGCGTACCATATGGGTAGCAGCTCCGGTCAACCTGGTGTTGGCCCTGTTCAAACGATTCCCCCAATTGATAGAAGCGGGAAAGCACACTGGTACGGATCGCAAAGACTTAGGTGCGCTTTACCCGCGGGATGGGGGCGAAATGGCGCCTGGAGCGTCCCGGAAGCCCCGTCCCGGAAGCCAGTTCCGGCCCGCGCAGGCTCCTCCCACTCTTGCCGGGCTCTACAGGGCAGACCACAGTCCGGAAGTGGCTCGCGGGAGAGGTTCTGATTGGCAGCGCGGGGAGAGACTGCGGAGCCTGACTCGACAGGCTGTCAAAGTGGCGGGTGAGCTTTGCGAGCGACGCAGAGGGGAGAGACGATGCTGCCTCGACCCTCCGAAAGGCGCGCCAGCGGAGATCCCGGCGGCAACCTGTGCCTCAAAAGGCATTGGCGTAGCCGCGTCATGTGGTGTCGGGTGCCGGCGGGCTGCGGGCTAAAGCGAAAGAAGCCTCAGGCGCCCCAGTCCCCTCACGTCGTTCGGCCGAGTCCTTCTCTGCGAGCGTTGGCTTTTAAATTAGCGGCGCGTGCGGGCAGAGAAGACCACGTGAGGCATCGGAGTGGAAGCCTATTGGCCGGAGCATAAATAGCAGTTTTGGGGGCGCCCGCGGTTTCTTTGTCTGTAGTCAAGAGAGTTGGTTGCCAGGGCGTCTTGTGCTTACGCGGGGCAGTTCCTCTAAGTGTTTTAACAAGATATAAACAAACAGACCAAACTGGAAAGGCCCAACTTTCAGTACTGATACATTTCGACACGGAGTTTTTGAATAAAATCCCTTTCGTCAAATACATGTGTCACTGCGTGCAAGTTAAAACATGCTCATTTTAAAGTAGTGGCACGTAAAAGTGTTGGACTCGAAGACGCTGGATCTGTATATTTGCCCAGCGCTGCACAGGATGTTGCAAAAAGGCCTTTGCCCGGCTGGCGCACAATCAAACGAAAGGAAACTCTTGATATTTCCGGGTGAGCAAAGAGTTGCGGACAGTATTGGATAGTCAGAAGCGAGCTATCCTAGCATCGTACGAAGCTTAATTCTGATTTTAAACTGAACCGCCACCAGTTACCGCTTCTTACAGTTAATAGCGAAATGTGTTACAGAAACCAGAGAATATTTTTTTTTTAAATGTGTACAGAAAACATTTTCCTAAAACGTCTTTGACAACACATGGAGAGGAGCTGAGGAGTTGTGGATAATTGAACATTTGCAGTCAGCACAATATTTTGGTTCAGTCATTATCACTCTTGCAATATTAGCTGTAGAAAATCAGCACAGGTACTTACAAACAAACACCTTCAGCTGTGTTCCTGATCAGTTTATATATTAACAGAGAAAGCTTCTGTCTTTTGTATAATTGCCAACTGCAGTTATAATTGGAAAAGAGTACTGTGAATTTGCAATTTGGACTTATCAGGTTAAGGTATTTCCGTGATTATAAATTAATCTTTGTCTTGCTTGAACTCTATTAGTGGTGGCCAACCTATGGCATGCATGCCACAGCGGGCACACAGAGCCCTCTCTGTGGGCATGGGATCCAAGTTGCCCAAGCATTGCCCCAGCAGCCGAGCATCGGATAAGAGTACACATCAGGGCCATGCCCATGCTCAGAAAGGAGTGGCAGCGCCAGGCAATAACCTCACAAGCCGGGACTCATTAGCCATGACTCCTCCAAGCTTTCACATGGCCAGTCAGTGTGTTGCCAAGGATGCATATATATTTGCTTGGACTGGCTGTGAGTTGTTTTTTTCTAAACTAAAACCTCAGTGTTCAGGTTTTATTCTAGTGTTGGCACTTTGTGATAAGTAAATGCGTTCTGGGTTGCCGTTTGGGCACTCGGTCTCTAAAAGGTTCACCATCACTGCATTAGGCTTAGAAAAAGGAGGTGTCCTAGCATGATTTGGATGGTTGGAATGTTTTTACATTGGGCAGAAATGTTGAGTTGTGCAGAAAAAGCTACTCAGGGAAGGCTTATTCAAAATCGCCCTCTTTTCCATGGTATTTTAGCCCTATGTTAGTTGTTAGGGGTGTGCACCAGGTTAGGGTTAGGATTACAAAAATGAGGTGTCCTGGCATGATTTTGATGGTTGGAATGTGTTTGCATTGCGCAGAAATGATGAGCTGTGCAGAAAAAGCTATTCAAGGAATGTTTTTTAAAATTCGCCCTCTTTTCCATGGTCTTTTAGCCCACTATTAGGGTTAGGAGTATGCACCAGGGTAGGGTTAGGATTTGAAAAATGAGGTGTACCTGCATGATTTTGATGGTTGGCTTGTGTTTACATCGGGCAGAAATGATGAGCTGTGCAGAAAAAGCTACTCAGGGAAGGCTTTTTCAAAATTGCCCTCTTTTCCATGGAACATTACCCCTATATTTGGGTTAGGGGTGTGCACCAGGTTAGGGTTAGGGTTACAAAAAGGAGGTGTCCTGGCCTGATTTTGATGGTTGGATTGTGTTTAGAATGGGCAGAAATGTTGAGTTTTACAGAAAAAGCTATTCAAGGAATGTTTTTTCACAATCACCATTTTTTCCATGGAACTTTACCCCTATATTAGAGTTAGGGAAGTGCACCAAGGTAGGGTTAGGGTTAGACAAATGAGGTGTTCTGGCATGATTTTGATGGTTGGAATGTGTTTGCAATGGGCAGAAATGATGAGCTGTGCAGAAAAAGCTATTCAAGGAATGTTTTTTAACAATCGCCCTCTTTTCCATGGTCTTTTAGCCCACTATTAGGGTTAGGAGCGTGCACCAGGGTAGGGTTAGGATTTGAAAAATGAGGTGTTCTGGCATGATTTTGATGGTTGGCTTGTGTTTACATTGGGCAGAAATGATGAGCTGTGCAGAAAAAGCTACTCAGGGAAGGCTTTTTCAAAATTGCCCTCTTTTCCATGGAACTTTACCCCTATAGAAGTGTTAGGGGTGTGCACCAGGGTAGGATTAGGGTTTGAAAAATGAGGTGTCCTGGTATGGTTTTGATGGTTGGAATGTGTTTATATTGGACAGAAATGTTGAGCTGTGCAGAAAATGCTACCCTGGGAAGTCTTTTTCGGAAATGCCCTCTTTTCCATTGGTATTTAGCCCTACATTCGTGTTGGAGGTGTGCACCAGGGTAGAGTACGGGTTACAAAAAGGAGGCATGATTTTTGATGGTCGGAATGTGTTTGCATTGCGCAGAAATGATTAGCTGTGCAGAAAAAGCTATTCAAGGAATGTTTTTTCACAATCGCCCTCTTTTCCATGGAACTTTACCCCTATATTAGGGTTAGGGGAGTGCATCAGGGTAAGGTTAGGGTTCAAAAAATGAGGTGTCCCGGCATGATTTTGATGGTTTGAATGTGTTTACATTGGGCAGTAATGTTGAGGTGTGCAGAAAAAGCTACTCAGGGAAGGCTTTTTCAAAATTGCCCTCTTTTCCATGGAACAGTACCCCTGTACTAGGGTTTGGCGAGTACTCCAGGGCAGGATTAGGGCTAGAAAAACGAGGTGTCCTGGCCTGATTTTGATGGTTGGAATGTCTTTACAATGGGCAGACATAATGAAATGCATAGAAAAAGCTATTCAAGGAAGGCTTTTTCTAAATTTCCCTCTTTTTAATGGAACATTACCCCTATATTAGGGGTACTTTTGAGTAGACAGATATAAGATTGTGGTCCTGGACCATTTTCAGGAAATGAGGTGTTAAAGTACTATTTATGGAAATAGTGATATGCTATTTATGGAAAAATATATGACTATACTGAAGGGTTGCAATGCTTTAAGTAACTTACTGATTGAAATAATGCTTATCCCAATCAATTGCAGTTTATTCATTCTTGTAAACTATATGCCAAAAGGTGAGTTTTAGGGTCAATGAGAAAGATAACTTTTGGTATCATTTTTTGCTAATTGTATCAGAAGCAGACATACTTTGATTAACTTTAAGCCAATATCTGAATATAAGCACTGGCAATGACTTAGATGTGTTAAGAATAAGCAAAATAAAATACCCCCAGGTAACTCCTGAATTATAGTGTAAGGTTAATCAGTGATTATCAAATATAGGTATAAAAACAAATAAAAATGCACATTCAAAAGACGGAGACATAGATTTCAAGTAGACATATATAGGAGGTTGCTGCTAGTGGTTGTGCAGACATGAGTTCTAAACTAATTTAAGGGGATGCTATTTATTACCAAATAGCATCTCCTTAACTTAGTAACCTGGGAAACTAGGACACCAGTTCTGTTTTCTTCAGACCTGTGGCCTGGCGTATCCCAATTCAAGTAATAAAGAAAAAAGGTAAGGTTGACCTTTGTCCCAAAGACTTGTAGCTTGGAAGTTTGCCACACTTTATGATGGAACCATGAATGAAATAGAATATGAACAGTATCTTATATGTTGTTTATCAGCAAAATGTGTCAAAGATGAAAGGAGAAAAACGCATTGGCCAGGAATGATAGGAAGGAAACAAATAGATGAGGTGATAATATTAAGATGACCAAAGGTAACAAAGAATGGGGAGGTAGAACTGCAAATATATTCTGTAAAACTGCAAATATATTCAACTGCTTTTGGGCCAGTTCACTGTTGGGGCATCTTATGGCAGATAGCCTCAGTGATTGACAGTATGGAATAAACTTTTTGGTGCGGCCGGATTGTGATAGAAGGGTACAGGAAATAGGATAAAATGATTCTGGAGGCTGCTAAACGTTTCTCTTACAGCTTGTATGCTATGAGACATGCACTGGGGCATGCATTGCATTGTAGTGAAGAGGCAAAGTGTGTTCTCTGAGAGGGCTAGCAAAGTGATGAATGCTGTGCCATTTGGTGGTGAACATGCTTCCTCCATATGAAGACTCTTGACCAACACAGTGTTGACCCGCACCATATACCTGCTTCAGAAGCCAGAATGCATAACTCACCCCCGCTGAGGCCCTCTCGTGCTCTGCCTCAGCATCTGCATGTAGGGACATAATTTTAAAAAGAGATAGAGAAAGCAGCATTACTTAAAATCAGTTCTCATCTGGGTCAACCACCAGCCATCACATGTTAGTTTGAACAGAAAACTGTGTTGCTGCATCTGAACAATGCTTCAGTGTTGGCTTTGGGCTCTACAAAGGATATCACAACTGTGAGACAGCCACCAAGAATGCCTGAGCATCTGACATTCAGGACATGATACAAGGATGGCATTAAGAGAATGTTCTCAGCCATAAAGAAAGTAGAATGCTTCATATTTATTTGGGGCCAAATCTCCCACCACATATGCATGTTCACACACACACACACACACACACACACACACACACAGGTAGGATCACTACAATATTAAACTCAAATTATTTTATGTTAAAGGTCTTTGTAATGATTTAAAGTGTTATGGGTGTGTTCTTTTAAATGTTGGTAAGTTTCAGAAGAGCAAGGTGGGTAAAAGGGGGAGTGAGTAATTGGTTCGTGACTGCAAGTGTACAGATGAAGCTTGAAAGTGTGCAAGGAGAAAAACAAGGAAATAATAATATATTTGGTTGGTTGGCAATTAACAGGTTTTTGTGGTTAGTCAGCAGTTTACATAATCTAAAAAGTAGCCTTCTCATTGGAATCCCAGATACTGTTGTGAAAAGCTTTTAAGAAAGATAAAAGAAAGTAGAATAATCAGAGGACATATTAGCAATTGTACTTCTGTAGTGCCCTTTTGATGAGCCAAACCCCATATCACCTATTATGTTACTGCCCACATCTGTCACAGGAAGCATTTGAGGTGGTGCCCACAGCAGTTTCTCAGATTTGCAGATGGGCTCACAAACTACTACTACTACCATTATTAATAATAATAATTTCATTTCTATACCACCCATAGTGAAGACTCTCTGTGTGTTTTACAGCAGAATATCAAAACAATAAAATACAATAGATAAAAACATTAATGAGAATGTAAAACAATTTAAATTGGTTATTGGTGTTGGTTATCACCTATAAAGCCCTCAACGGCTTGGGACCTGGTTATCTAAAGGAGCGCTTGCGTCCATATATGCCCTTCCGCCCCCTGAGATCAGCAGAGGAGGCCCTTCACCGGGAGCCCTCTGTGAAGGATATTAGGAGGGTGAGTACCTGGAGGAGGGCCTTCTCTGTGGTGGCGCCCCGCCTATGGAATGCACTCCCCAGAGAGGTCTGGCTGGTGCCATCGTTATTTGTTTTTTGGCGCCAGGCCAAGACTTTATTTCAACAATATTTTAATTGTTAATTCGTGGTTTTATTTAGTTGTTTTAAATTATGGTCAAGATACTCCAAATTTTTAATGTTATTCTATTCTTTGTTTGTTTATTCTCTTTGTGAGCTGCCCCAAGGCTTCTGCGATGGGTGCGGCATAGAAATGTTATAAATAAATAAAATAAAATTGCAATGTTGTTGTTTGTTATTAGTCGCGAAGTTATGTCCAACCCATCACGACCCCATGGACAACATTCCTCCAGGCCTTCCTGTTCTCCACCATCCCCCGGAGTCCACTTAAGCTCTCGCCGACTGCTTCAGTGCCTCCATCCAGCCACCTCATTCTCCACTGTCCCCTTCTTCTTTTGCCATCTATAGTTCCCAGCATTAGACTCTTCTCCAGTGAGTCCTTCCTTTTCATTAGGTGGCCAAAGTATTTGTGTTTCATCTTCAGTATCTGGCCTTCTGAAGAAAAGCAGGTTGCTTACCTGTAACTGATGTTCTTCGAGTGGCCATCTGTGCAGTCACACATATGGGTGCTGCACCTGCACAGTGCCTATGGCCGGGAGATTGATAGCTAACAGTTTTGGCGGGAAAAACTCCCCTCCCCTCCCCCGCAGTAGTATATATGGAGCGGAGTGTCCGCCATTTTCCAGTCTTTGATAGACTGGATGTTCGATCTCTAGAGAAAAAAATGTAACTAAGGAAAAACGTTGTAGGTACCGATGACAAGTTAGGAAATACTGTGTAGGTACAGAGAATAAAGAACAGTATGGTACCAATAATAAGTTCCACCCAGTGACACCAAGCGGGACCGGCGGGTGGGTTGTGTGACTGCACAGATGGCCACTCAAAGAACATCAGTTACAGGTAAGCAACCTGCTTTTCTTCGTCGTGGCCTCTGTGCATAACACATATGGGTAGATTAGCAAACTTACCCTGACCGGAGGAGGGAACGTGTCATCAACGAAGAACAGCTGACAGAACGGCTCTTCCAAAGGAACAGTCCTGTCTTGCATGGACACCTAGACTATAATGTTTAGCGAATGTGCATGGAGTGGCCCAGGTGGCCGCCCTGCAGACATCGTCAGTCGGGACCCCCGCCGCAAAGGCTGAAGAAGCAGCTACTGCTCGAGTAGAATGACCCCTTGGGGTTGTAGGTAAGTCAGTCTTAGCCAACTGGCAGGACAGAGTAATAGTGTGAACTATCCATTTGGAGAATCTTTGAGGGGTAACAGGAAATCCTTGGTCCTGCTCATTTAACAAAGAGCTGATTGGAGCGTTGAATAGATTCAGTCCTTGATCTATAAAAGGCTAAGTAGAGCCATACATCGAGCGCATGTAAGGATCTCTCAATCGGATTCAATGGAAATGGAAAAAACGCAGGTAAGACTATCTCTTGACTCATGTGAAAAGAACTAGCCACTTTTGGTAGAAAAGACGGATCCATTCGCAGAACAACTTTCTCCCTATGGAAATTCAAATAGGGAGGGTCTACCCTGAGGGCACAGAGCTCACTAGCTCTTTGAACTGATGTAACCGCTACAAGAACACCTGTCTTCCAAGAAAGAAGGTGTAAA